CATTGGTGTCTAACGAATATTCATCCTCATTCATCCTGATTTTTTTGGTGAAATCTACATCTTTTAGTTTCAAAACTATGTGTTGTGGTCATTCTTTTATGTATTGCGTTATGATGTTTTGTGAAAAATCTGTATGTGATGGAGAAAAATGGATATCATTTTCGGATTCATCGTACAGGAATTACTGTAGAACATGTAAAAATATCAAGACAATTAAACCATCGCAGACCTGTGTTACGACATTAGCGTTAAATGCCATTATCTTTTTATTGTGCTCACTTTACTAATGATTTTTTTTTGTTTTTTATCTCTTGTTAAGCACAAAACTACACAACGGGCTATCTGAGCTGTGAAGGGGTACAGATATCGAAACACGGATTTTAGTGTTGTAAGCCTTCTGATTATATTACTAATATAATCGCAATACCACATTATAGTTGACAAACTCAATTCTCATTTCGCTACTTCATTAATCGCTAAATATCACATTAGAATTTACCACCTCTACTCATTTCATGTTGTTCGCTTTAATCATATAATCCCCAAATATCACAATTGACAACCTTTATATTTGAGTTTTTGTTGACGTATCGCCACACAACCATAGAAAAGTCTCCATACACGGCTGTAACTAACATCTTACTCAGTTTTTATTGTGTAAAGAAGTTAAGATCACGTATACAAAAGTTAGATTTTACCACTGCAAACCGAGTATTCTTTATGGTACTCAAACATAATTAACTTAATTACTTAATTAGCCACTGTATCTGATATTGAACTCTATTTTTAATAATGGACCACCTAATAACAAATTTACAATCTATAATCATTAATACCTGTTCGAATAGTTGGAATAGTTTTGTTCGCTAACGAATCCATCCCTGTCTTCATAATTATTGTACATAAGTATCCAGATTTCATAAGCAGACGTGAGTTCACGACCTACTACTTCCTCTCTATAATTAGAACTATTCAATGTGTATTTGTGTTTTTTAGAGCAAGGCCACAGTGGGCTACCAGCTTTGTCCACCGGGTGGAATCGACCTCCTGATCTTAGCGTTATAAGTTCACAGACTTACCGCTATTCCACCGGGGAACAAACTATTCAGTGAGTGGATAGCTACATCATTGTTATTCACCATATAGTTTAATCTATTTAGTTCAACTTTAATAAAAAGCTAAAATGATAAATAGATTGAAGTGAATTTTATCTCAACAGTAGATTCATTTCCTAGGTTTCTAATTATTTCTCATATTATTTTGTATTTTCTTCGTAATTACTTGCCAAACCATCAGAGGAGGAACTTGCAAACCAAGATAGTCTAATTTGAATTGAAAGTTTAGA